CACTTTTTACACGGGATTAACAACCATTTCGATACAAGGAGAATTAGATGATTGTGTTGTGATAATAATCGTTATTATCACAACAATTATGAAATTAGCATTATGAATAATAATGCTAACTTCATAATATACCGTGCATAAGAACATTTTTAAACTTTTGTTTCGTTTTTCATGAGTTCTACTTTAAAACTAAAAGTAACGTTAATTTTCTATCTACGCAATTATATTTTTCTTAAAGAACTTTTTTACTGTTCTAAGTAAATATAAACATTATTAATCCGATATTTTTTTCTCGAAAAAAATTTAAAATTGATTCGCTTTCGTTCGGATTTTAGCCTTTTCTCCTCATTGTTTTATCTGTCAGCTGTTTAAATGTTTTTTTGTTTTTTGCTTTATCAGCTGAGCGACAATTCCTGACCGATTTTATTTTTTTAGGTTATCTTCGCTCTCTCTTCCATTATTTTTTTTGTTTTTTCTTTTCTTTTCTTGTGGTGGATAAATTTAATTAAATTGTTAGATTTGAACATCTGACCTCATCTAGGAACCAAGCTGTTCTTTTAAAAGTAAGGAATACAAAAACCAAACTTTTAAAAATTTTCAATTTCATTGATTTTAATGTAAATTTTATAAAAGTATTTTTAAAAAGTAATGTAATAAGAAACTTGTCGTTTAGTAATTCTAAAAACTTTTTTTCAATAAAGTCTACAGTTTAAAAATTCTTTGACGTTCAAAAACTGATTTAAATTTTTTTTTTTTTTTCTTTTTTTTGCTTTGCCTTCAAGAAGGTAAAATTGAACATTTTCTCCGTAAGTAAAATTAAAATAAGTATCTTTTTTTTTTTTTTTTTTTTTTTAAATTTAAAACAGAAAATTTTAACGAAAGAAAAACATACAGTTAGCTTTGAATAACAGATTTAAAAAAGGATTTTCATAATGTATATTGTAGTGACAATGTATGAAAAAAAAATGAATACCGTGTGGACTATTCTACATATCTTTAAAAAAGAAAACTATTTTCCCCTCATTTTATATTTAAACAAAAAATAAAAAATTGTATATTTCGGCTAAAGAAGTCTTTGTTCAAAACATTCACTTTTTTAACACTTGTTTCAGTAGGCAGTTGGTTTTTAACAACTTTATCACCGCAGTTTTTGTATATTGCCTCACCACTTTACATTCTACTTTTTAAAGTTTTAAAAATTAATTAACCTTCTGCTGACCCCTTCTTATTTGAGAAAAATATACAATTTAAAGTTGGTTCAGATCTTGGGAAAAAAAGTAGTAATAAATACATATATGTGGGAGCATTTTTATTTTAAGGAGAGCAATTATTTGTTGAAATAAATTAAAAAATTTCGGACTTTATTTCGTTTTTTTATTTCGTTATGCATCACTAAATCCGAAAAATATTTAAGGGAGGTAATTCAGATTATTCTTATTCAGATAGTGTTGTAAAGATACAGTTGTCCATAATTTTCTTGTTTTCAACGTTCGTCTATGTGTGTGCATCTGTTAACTTTAAAGATTTTTTTTAATATATAGAAAAATAAATTTTCAAGACACTACTTTTCAGTAAATTTTTATTTCTATTTATTTTTTAAAGTAAATAAAAAACATTTATTCAAGGTGTAAAAAGCAGTTCATTGTTTAACTTCTTCGCATTTTGTGTATTAGTCCCTGCTAAGAAAAATCATTTTTAGATATTTTTTCTAAGAATTTTGAATTATTAAATGTTCTTTCGTGAACTCTTATTTTCAAAGAAACCGTGCATTTTATTTTAGACATTTTTCTAATACAAGGGAGACAAACTAACACATTTTTTTAGTAATGAGTTGTGTGCTAACCGAAGGTTAGTCACTTCACTACTTAACACTTTTGTATGGAATCAGAATTCTAATAAAAAAATTGTTACATTGCATTTTATATTTGTAGATTTTAAAAATTAGCCTTTTTTATTTAAACTAATGTTCACTAAATACAAGTTAGTGTGAGTAGTATGAATGTAAGAGAAAGTAAAGTGAAGATTATGAGGATAGGCAGGATAGATAAGGATTGAATCTGGACTTGAAGAGGTTAAGGTTGTAGTTTTTGAAGAACCATCCACGTGGGTGTCTGCCTACCATATGTGGAGATGGGGCCTTTTCTTAAAAAATGAATATTTAATTTTTACTATCATCAATGCGTAGCATTTATCTAATATTGATGTTTTTGGTCTATAGATTCTAGTAGCAAGAAAACCCCAAGGACAGTGGAACGGTTCAAGATCATCTGAGGAGAAGCCCCAATATTTTGTTTTTAATCAGAATTCAGAAATGTATGATTTAAAATTTTTTGCAAAGATCAAGTTAATTTACAAAATAATGATAAAAAAATCTTTTTAAAATATCAAAAGAATATTATATAAATTATACCTAATACATTTACACTATTTAGTGTAATTAATCTAATTTTTAATTGACTACAGTGTTAAATATGTTATCTTTTCATCAAAGTTGCCTGAACAGGAATAACAAGTATTTCCTGGCTGTGTTTGTAAGGCATTAAAACATTAATTTCTACAGATTAACAGGAAAATAATTTTATTAGAAAATACTTAAATGTTTAAAAATATGCAAAAAAAATTAAGTTGTTGTGAATTTAAGTAAATTTAGAAGAGCAAAACAAATGTATATATCCTATATAAAAATTTTTTTCACCCAATACAAGGCACAAAGCTCAAGAGCCACTGAAGGTAGAGGATTACTGAATGAGGTTGTTTTTTGGATGTAAGATGTGCAGTTTATTAGTATATACAGAATAAATAATGGTTGGCCTTAGACATAAGGAGGTTAAGATTGTCAGGATCAGGAAAGCATTCTCTTGGTAGTCTATTCCACAAAGCAGCAGCTCTTGGAACGAAGCAGTCTGAATGGAACTTCCTGCTTAGCATTGAAATACGAAGGGAATGAAGATGATTGAACCTTGTGTATGTGGCATGTTGGGTCCTAGCTGTAAACTGGAGAACTAAAGAATGTAGTTAGTCTAAACACTGCCATGAAAATAGTGATAAAGTAACAAGAGACAACAAACATTTTGTCTATATGAAAGTGGTTTATAAGATGGAAAGTAATTAATTGCATACAAACCTGTGTAGAAGGTTTTAAATTCCGTCAAAGCTAGCAAAAGAGGCTTGAGCATCTCCAGTCCAGGTATGGCAGCAATATTCCACATGTATGTAGCCTTGTGCCAGTCTAAGATAATCTTATGAAAGAATTTTCTTCTGTCAAAATAGAAATTCTTTGGTTTCAGATTATTTTTATTTGTGTTGCCAAATTTACAAAAATACAACTGAATATTGTAAATACTTTATTTACCAAGACATTTTATTGTATATGAGTTTACTAATGCAATAAAAAAATGACAGCATAAATATTTTTTCCAGTTATTAGTCATAATAATTTTTGTTTTAATGAACCAATTGTAAAGATGAATATATTATCCTAACTACTAGTCATGTGGCATTATTTTTAATCTATTCACCCCAAGCAAGGTGATAATGCCACTAAAATGCAAGTTGCAAAGACTTTTGAAAGAAACGGAAACTCCATCCTAAACAGAGAACAAGGGATAAACCTTTACTCCTGTCCAAAAGACCAGACTGGAGTACACTAACATACTTTAGTTTTTGCATGGCAGTAGCAGCATGCACATTAGATTCAAGAATAATTTTGTTTTTCATGACAATGCAATGCTGCATACAGCACAAAACACACCAGTGGTCATCTGGCCAGTGTGTTAGCTTACCCACTGATGGAGTGAGCCCCTTTATATCAAATAAAAATGCAATAAAGAAACACAGACAAATGATTTAGTAATAAAAAGGAATAGGAACTTTATAAAGTCATCCCTACACTATCAGTTACTCAAATTCTTTTTAAGAGGACATTTTCAAAGCTAGAGTTGATAAAGACTAGGTTAAGAAATTCACAGTATGAGGAGAATTTGAAATCTTACATATTATTATCCATTGAAAAGGAATTGTTAGATGAATTGGGTGCAGAAGCAATTATTTGTGATATTTATGAGATATTGGCAGGGCATAACATACTAACTAAGGAACAAGCAGAATTATAATACAATACTCAACTCTTTGATAGAGTGAGGTTTTCTTTTTTACCTTTCAGCTTCACAAACATCTTAAAAACTCTAACTTTTAACAAGGCATAACTCTACTTGGATTAGCATTTTCTTTATTTAGGATAACTTCATTTCTTTTGTTTACAATTGTTGTTTTGTTGCTGTTTTCTTTCTATTAATTCTATCTCTTTCAGTTTTGGAATATATAAATTGCTCCCTCATCTCTTAAAGCTTTTAACTTGTAAATAATTTATTTCTTAAAAATAAGTTAATTTTTTAAATTGACAGAAGATGCTCAAACTGATCATGATTAGGATTATAGTGCACCATGTGTACTGCAGCATTGGGTGCATTTTAGAGCATGGCATCCTTTACTAAATGAAATAAAATAAATCTTATGCCTAGTTCAGTTAAATAAAATAAAGTTATTTCAAATTTAAAAAGTGAAAATTTCTTAAACTAACTACAGTAGTAAACTACCACAAACCCAAACCAAAACTAAAAACTCTCAGTGGAATAACGAGGCCTCCAGTTTTGGTCATGAGTTGCATTATGACTTGTCCTTTAGTTAAGAACACCATGGTTTAGGGCAAGATAATCTGAAGGAGCCCAACACGCTTCAGGCTGGTTTTGAATTTGGAGTTGTCATAAACTGGTTGCCCAATCAAGATGGAAAATCCCAGTTTACCCAACTATTTAACCCCTAGCTGGAGGAAGATTGATTCATGCCTTTTCCAATGCTAAGTAAACAAAACAAAACTCTGCCAGAATTTGAATTTGATACACTAGTTCTATTTTCCATACTTATAACTATTACACTACCCACATATCCAACATGACTGAACAATTTCAATATTACAATTTATGATGTTCTTTCTTTTGTAGCTACTTGTGCAGTGTGTTGCATGAACACGGCCCACAATCAGCAAGTGGAGAGATTTTTCAGAATGAGATCAAAGCCTTGAAAGATAACCATAAGAAATTACTTTCCAAAAGTGGAGGATTGGCTAGCTTCCTCCTTCAATCAAACAATGTCCTACTTAAAGACCCTGATATTTTGTTTTTAGAAGCTGATACCTTGACAACAGTCATTCCTGCCACAGACCACCATCCTTTACAACTGCATCTCTCACAAGAATCAGGTATGTTTTTTTTTTTTTTTTTTTTTCTCAATTTGTCTCTGTTGGGGGATTATTGTCTGTCTGTCTAATTATTATACCCACTATGGTCTTTCCTAAATAGTTTTCATAACTTTAATAATGTTAAATCTAACCCCAAGTTTTGAAATATAGTTGTAAGGACCATCTCTGAAATAACTGTATACTGGACACTTAGGTTAATGTGTTCTTTTTCTGTGTGCTATATCCCTTCAGAACGTGGATGATCATGGCTTACCACAGCTTCCTGTCCTTTGTAGCTCTTAATAAAGTTTTTTTTTTTTTGGTGGGGGGGGTGTTGCTATTTCTCTTAATATCTGTTCTGCCAACCATTTACACAGGCCCATTAGGTAGGATATGCAAAGTCTTCCTCTATCCCTCTTGCCTTCAATATGTTCTGTGCGTGTCAGATTTTCTAATCCATCTTTCCTCATTATGTACCCTAGATATTTTTACTATCTTGTTCTGATTCTATGTATAAGTTTTTGTTTCCATTTTTCCCTAAAATTTTGTTGTTGCTCAGTTCATGGTATTCTTATCATCTTTCTGTAGAACCATATTCTTCTTACAAGTCTCTTCTTCGTCTATGTGGAGATTGTCCAGCATTCAATAATCAACTACCAATGATTTATCAACAGATACTGTAGATACTGTATTTTTAAATAGCTGGGGGTACACTTGAGATTCCGATGTGCCCATGTACCAGCTGGGAATGCGATTGTCGAATGCTGTCATAGACAAGACCATCAAGACCATCGCAGCCAGAAAGCAATGTTTGGTGCCAGAAGCAGTCTATTGGCACAATGTCATCTTCCACAGCACCAGCTGACGTGCTGCATAGGTACCACATCCAGGTATGAAACATCGATGTCACGCCCTCATTTACACCACAGAACATTCAAGGAGCATACAAGGAAGGGGACATCCTCTGGGTAAAGTCTCCACATGGTAGATGCACAATCAAATTCAAAATGGGCCACGTAACCCAAGGAATCAGTTTGCAATCAGTGCAGATTGATGGAACGCTGTGGCACGTGAAGAATTTACGCCCTTTTCTGGGATCATATCCATCATCTGGCTCTGATAGTGACACAAAGGAGTGAACGATTCATGTAATTAAAATCTAATTTACCATGTGATACCTCCAATACCAGCTATTCAGATACCAATGCCGAGCACCTGGCGACGATCCAGGCTGTACTTTGTCTGAGAATGAAATTTGGGTTGTTCCTCTTTGAAGGAGTACTCAACAGACAGAAGAGATCTACCCTGGGATGCATCAGCTGTGATCAGGAGATCAGTGGGGAGTGTAGCTGTGACTTACCTCGGTGACCCAAAAGGGCCAGAGTCATGTGTATGTTTTTTAAGGGAGTGTGGAGACGGCAAATCAGTGAGCTTCGGATGAACAGTGAATCGGGCAGCACTTTGTGCTGATGGAAGTGGTGGTGTTACTTGTAGCCATTTTTATTGGCTGGTTCTAGGCACTCATTGGTTGAGTGTTGGCTGAGCCAAATGCATAAAAGCATGGTACACTCATTAACGGTAGTTTGCTTTTTGCTTCTGACGGGGAGTGGCGTATTGGAGATTGAGACGAGGAGAGAAGTGTGGATTTGTTTTGCTTAGTGAACCTATTGGACACCTCCTACCTTCCCCCCATTCTTTTCCTGTGTGTGCATCCAACCAATTTTTGTACAGATACTTAGTGATACTTCACCAGAAAGCAGATGAGAATCATAACACTAATCCTTTTTATCTTGTTGAAGCTCAAAAACCTCAGTGGGATTAGTACTAATGCTTTCTCATCTCTTGCCGCCTCAGTAGTATAACTCTCTTAGGAAGTAAAAGACCACAACCTCAAAATGGAAGATTTTACTACTCTGGTTTCCATAGAGAGTAGATTTTTATGGGGGTGGAATGCTCAGCCCTGCACCCAACCAGTTTTGAATTCAGAGTTGACCTTCTCCTAGACTGGTTGCCAATTGTAAACATCTAGCTGATGAGAGAAGAGTTAAATTCATTATTTTTCCAAGAGTATTTACAGAAATTACTATTCACATTCATCAATACTAATGCATACATTTGAGAAATTCGAATTTGCACTGCTTTATATTAATAATAACCTTTATGAGGTTATAGTTCACACTCATCCATACTCACATGAACACAAAACCCGAAACACTATTAAGGGTCCTATGGGCACCACATTTATTTTAGTAGCAGTGATGTTTCCTGGGCAAGATAGCCTGATGGAAACCAACCCTCTGCAAGCAGGCTTTGAATTCAGTATTTCCTTCTAAACTGGTTGCCACCCAGTGCTTTACGATCCAGTCTGTCCTGCTATTTTACTCATAGCTGGGCGGGGAGCAGAGATGAATTCATACCTTTCCTAAGGGTATTAGCATGTAAATAAATGTAATGAACTCGACTGGAATTTGAACTTGGCTCTCCAATTCCTCAATCTGAGTCACTATCCGTTACACCACTGTGCTTCCATTTATAGATGATGGTCATTATAGGATTGCCATAGAAACTAGCTATGACGAGTCTGGTTCAATTTCTTCAATGTTCATGAGTGTTTTATGGACTAATGGACTGAATAACAAACCAACACTACCAATGGTAGTTCCTGTGGAATTTTTCCAAGATGAGTCTGAGATGAAGATCCAACTTTTCCCAGCACAGTGTTATTTGAGTCTGACGTCAGGATGAAAATAGCAGTGTTACTGAATATAGATGACACTGATATTCAGTTTGATGACAGATGAGACGAGTTCAGGCAGCAGATTTATGGAGTTAAGTGTGCAATCATTGAAGACTAAAATTAATGTAGATTTTTTTCATGTAAGAAGTTTTGTTTGGTGATCATGTAACTGATTTTTTGAACACCATATCAAGGTCGGGACAACAATGTAATGTGCCCCTTTGTAACCCGCATGATAGATGATGACATGGATTATTCTGCTATTTATGATACTTGTTTGTCTTTCAATGGCTTAGTACCCATCTATGGTTTGTCAGTCCTATAGCAAGTAGCAGTGTCAAATTTACTGATAGTTTTTTTGGACCATGTTCACTGACATGCATATTATGTTCCATGAGAGTGTTGTAAATGCCAATTACATAGTTTATCATGTAATGTCATCGACATTTTATTTATATATAATTCTATCCAATATCTACACAAGTCTGGTTCTGTTATTTCTGGTGACTACCCAACTTAGATGTAATCCCTATGTGGTAAGGGTAAATTTTGTACTAAATAGGGAGATAACTGTACTTATACTAATTACTTAATAAATGACGTTGTTCTTGCTCGATTCATGCTACCGACAAGCGGTAAGCTTTAGTCCATTACAACCTGTTACTGTGAGGAGTAGATAGGACTCCATAGCCACAGTGAAGGCAGTCTATCTTTGAGAAGGGAAACCCTAATGAAACCAGGAGTAAACTGTTTAAATCAACTGCCATTATATTCATATAGCTGTAAAATGTAGCCTATAAGCTCATCAGCCTACTTAGTGCTACATTATTTTAGGAATATATATAGAGTAATAATTGATGTATTACTATAATGTAATTTTGTTGATAATGTCGACCATAAAATTTCCATAAAATTCAGCATAAAGAAAAAATGGTGATGCCAAAATAGGCTTCCAAACAGTATTAAATTTTTAAATGCAAAAAAAAAAATATGCTTAAGTGTAAATTAAATTTTCTTCAAATTTATAGCTTCAAGCAGTGAATTAATAAACTCTTAATTTTTATTGAATTTGGTTTATCATTATTTTATTCTTATTTGCAAAAGTAATAATTTTGAGATAAATTTTATACACTAATATAATAGCTATTATGGCACAGAGGTAATATTAATTTATATCAACTCAAAATGCTACAAGCTGAAGTTAGTAGTCATCTAAAATGAATGCAATTCACCTATCTAGGATTAGAAATAGAAGTATTAACATAATGACTGTTTTCTGAAATGGTACAATGAATTATTTTCATTATGCATTGGTGATATTAAGTTGCAAACAAAACATATACAAATGTATTTAGTGTCTTATTGTTGTAACCTAGGGAAGGTCACTGAATAGAATAATCAAAACAAAGGTTGGTAATGAACGATAATACTCAGGACAAGAACAACACATATAAGATTTGCCAGCGGCGTGTAGAAGTAGTAGTCAACTGCTAAAAGTGAGTCAAATGAATTCCATAATAAATCTCCAAATGCAGGATATGTACCAACCACCCCATGCGGTCAGATGTGGCACAAGGCTGAATTTAATGTGGGCTATCCGAGCCTGTAGGCTCGACCAAAAATTCCATATAGACCACGTATAAAATGGGGTCAGGTAGCTGTTTCCCAAGACAAGACTCTGCCCTTCAACATAGCCTTGTCTGGGGATCCTCTCTGCCTGGAGACGGAGAGTTTGACCAGCACAGCTGGAGATGAATCTCCAACTGCAGACCCACATACAGTATTTACTACTGTATTTATGTGAATGGGGACATACCCATTATTGTCCGTAGGTATGCTACAACACATTAAAGTGTAAAAAAGTGGGCATGTCGCTGAGTGTTTAGAATGTTTACATTCTGACCATGAGACAGTGTTTTTAATCCCACCATGGTCAATTTGACAAGGAGAGGATTTTCTTGATATTATCAGCCTGCAGAGACAATCCCAGTGTCTGACATTGTTGGGAAGTGGCAGAAAACAAAACCATGCATTGACCCAAGTCTTGTAAGTAGATAACTTATAGAAACTGTTTGGAAGCTGTTGATTGTTATGCTAACACAGAGTCAACAGTCATCATGACCAAGTTTTTGAGCATATTGAAACTTATTCAGAACTATTGATAACTTCCACTTGTGCCCTCTCAGTCAGGAATTGCAACTAACTTCTGCTCAACATAGTTGCAATATCAACTACAGGTTAGTTCTGTGGGTGTTGGATCCAAATGAGCAGATGTCTACAACAAGGATTAGCTAGCCACCTAGAAGATGGGTGTGCTTGTAAACACATAGCCAACCATTAATATTGTACTAGAAATACCTGTGAAAATTTCACAGTTTTCCTATTTGAATTTTCTGATGAATCTTAATCCTTCAGTTAATGATCGAATAAGACCATGGCGAGTTCTGCAACAATAAAATATCCATATAAATTCCCCTGTCATGTTGTTAAATATTTGTGCTTAACATCTTTAACAAAATATTGCAATAACAATCATAGATATGAATGTTGGTCATTATTTTAAGAAGTAAGGAGGTACAAATGAAAAGATTTGAAATTAACAACTTTTTCCATTGCACTGAAAAATGGAATAGTCCATTATTTATGAGGTATTGGCAGAAGAGGTTAAACACTTTTATCTTCCCTTCTTTCTTTTCTTTCATTTTCTCACTGAAACCAAATATTCTCTCTGATATTTCTTTTCCATCTTTTCATGTGATCAAAATGGAATAGTCCATTATTGCTTAGGTATTGGTAGGGCATAACAGTCGTGCTTAGGGAGGGTCAAGCAGAATTATAATAAAATGGTTAGAAAATATTACTTATATATATATATATATATATATATATATATATATATATATATATATGATTAAGTTATAGCCTCTGTCTGACTGTTTTTTATCAAACTCCTCCTAGGGTTTTGGAGATAGATATATGGTTATGGGAACTGTATATATTCTAAAACTACATTACCCTGGGTACTTGGATAAGTATATTTCATTTTGATCAAAGGGGGTCCCTGAAGAGGACAAATCCCCCACTGAAAATTTTTTTCCCTTTGATTTAAAGTGAATTTAAATTTGAACAAGAGAATGACTCCTATCCAAAATATAGAAGGAGAAATCCAGAAGATGGAGGTCACATCAGCAAGACCATTGAGTAATATTGAAATGCATCATTTTTCTCCACAGATTAAAACAATGATTTAAAATCAATCATCATTTTTTACAAAAAATGTGTGATATGCAGCAAGGAATGGATAATTCAGCTACTTAATAATAATAGTAATGTTTTCCATCAGTTTCCTTACTTTTCTTTTTTCTTTTATTTAAGCATCTGGTGAAGATTTGGCCTCAAACACATGTCCTCTTCCTTCACTTATTCCAGAAATGTCTGCATCAGGCTATGACAACCAGGAAGAATATGCAGCTCCAAGAAGAGGCAGCCCAGTAAATGAAAGTATCAGCACTTTACAGAATCCAGTTTCTTTAACAGATGCTGACTTTGCTATTATAGAGGCAAGCAACCCAGAGTTTTTTGGTGCTCAATGTGAAAAGCCAAACAATGTTTCTGTATCTGTTGACGAGCCTTCTATGGTCCCGACAGGACCTCCTAAACTAGATTCTGTGGAAGGGATCAAGAGAAGGAACTTACCTCCAGACAAGAGGGAAATAAATATTTTGGATCACAGTTCATCTGAATTGGAAGAATCCAGTAGCATTAGTGGGCACAGTGAACAAGAGAAAGAAACAGAAGAGGAGGAGGAAAATGATTTCTTTTACTCGTACAGTGAAGAATCACCCGAATCTTTGGATTCATCTGATTCTGAGTTTCCATACTGTGAATTTTGTGAACACTTCAAGCCTCGTTTGGTCTTTCTGGAGGAAGAATGCAAGAACATTTCGGTTAAATATAATGATGAAAGAAAAAATTGTGAAAGAGCTAAACAGGTAAGAAATTGCAAAGATATATATAAAATTATCCAATTCAAATCAAAAGTTGTATTAATATTTAATTTCTGATTATCTGAAAAATTATCTAATACATATAACCAAACAAATTTAAATAAGTTTGCATCAGGCAATAACATCTTTTAAGGAAAATAAATTCACATCTTTCAAGAAAAATATACCATATATAATTGTGAATAGGTTGCCCCACCGGATACGTCACGTCCATACTTTATGGCTTAATAATTGATGATTTACTGTTGACTTGCAGATAGGTTGCACCATAATCTGGGAAGTTACACAGCTTTTTTTAAACGTAAAAATTATCAGATATCTACCTTCATTTCAAAACTTACAATTATTAATACACTTTTGCAATTAAAATACATTTCGTCAGTCATCATGTAAACAAAAGGAAGTAACTGTTGTACCAGTATTTTTATATTTACTGCATATTATTTTTATATTGAGTCAACTCAACAAAAAAAAAGAAATAACTACAGAAAAAAAATGTTATGGTACATTTAGAAAAAAGTGTTTATCTATTTATATATCAAGTTACGGTTTTAATATTCATTCAGAACTGAATCCACAGCTTTAGTGTTTATGGATATTGTTGAGATGTTGTGAGTTTCCCGCGTGTCGGTGTATGAATCAAGACAAACACAGTTGTAGAGGAAAATACTGGTATATTCATAAAAGCAATTAACAATAGAGTGATTAGTAGAACGAAGGTTGGTTAGTACGAAACAATATCCAAAGTCTATAGTCCAACGGTATGTACCGGTAAGCTTATCTGGACTGCTCACGCTTACTCTCTCTCTGACGCTCTGGTCACTCTCTCTCAGAGCTGACTTATATAAGAGGACCAGTCCATTACTAGTTAGAAAAGGTGGGTGCCCCCCCCGCTAAAATTGTTTTTTTTTTTTCATTGTGGGGAGAAAAAAAATTAATATTTTTCCTTTTCGGATCTATTATTAAATTTTGTGTCGCTTTACGTTTTCTTGTAGATCTGCGTTGTTTCTGCTCAGTCTGCGGTATTTGCAGGTCAAACGTATCAAACAATTTTGTAATTCGTCTTGTGGAATTACTTCCGACTCGTCGGTCTTTTCTTTTCAACTGGTTAATGTGCCGTTTGTGTGTAAATTTGTTTCCTTGTATAATGTATACCATATCCCCAATGCGTTTTTTTATGACCCCTGGTTCCCCATGATGTTGCATTATTTGTATAATTTTGAAAAAATTTTTTCATTAATGTTAAATTTTCGCCTGGGAACCATAGCGACTGTTGAGTGTACCTTATTTTCTGGTATCAATTTGTCAAAAACCGATCTGACCTTTTCTTGCGAACATTAGTTCCGCAGGTGATAGGCCTGATGGGGCAGATTTATTCGGGGTAATTCGGTACTTGCAGGAACAGCTGTAACGCCTTTCTAGTCGGGGTACCTGTTGCTTTCCTAAGAGCTCTTTTTCAGTGTATCGACGAACCTTTTTCGGCTAGTCCGTTGCTGCGTGGGTGATAATGGAGGAATCCTCACGTGATCAACTTGGAAATTTTGGCAGAATTCTGTGAATTCTTTGCTTGTGAATTGGGTACCATTGTCACTAACAACAGATATTATTTCTGATTTCTCAGAAATCATGATGACAAGGTAGTGTTGTTTTATATTTATGTTGAGTGGTTAGGTCATATAATATTTTGTGAAATTTTTGGTAAAAAAAGTGCAACCTATCTGGGAGTATTTATGGTATCTGAAAATAAATTTAATTTTACAATTAAGCCTTCTAATGAGTGGATGTAATCTCCACAAATTTCAGAGGACAGACAAGATGAGTGAATATTTAATTTTATTTATTACCATTAATGCTTTATCTCTTGATACTAAGCACTATGATGATATTTTATGATATTGAGCACTATGATAACAAAGACTGCTTGTCCTAAATATGTTATCTTCTAGAAATGGCGTGATCAGTGATATTTTTTCTTTTTTCATTGTTATTGCTATAACTACACCCATCACACACACACACACACACACACACACATATATATTTTATGCAAATATGTATATGTGCTCTCACTAAATGCAGCCCTACATGTGATATGTATTCGCAGTCACATAATACTCCACATCCACAGAATGCATATGTGTATATAAAGTGTGGTGCACATACAAAAGTTGGCAAACATGGGCTTGCATGGCCACAATGAGACATAGTGTCAAAAGAACATTTTTTTCCCATAACTGCTTTTTTAACTACCTTTAATCTTCAGCAATGTTTGTTTTAAAATCGATTATTAGAACTGTAATAAAACCTAAACATATGAAAGTGAATTTATACATTTTCTTTGCTTTTAAGAATTGACAACAGAAATAATAAACACTATTAGATTTATTTACACTATTTATTTCTTATATTATTTATTGGAACAGTTGGCAAAACATCAGCTAATTGCCAATTGATTCAAACTTTATAAACTGGTGAATAATAAGGATTTCCTTATAGTTGGTTCACATATTTTAATAATCTAGTATATGTCTATAAATATATGAATAAAAAATTGTTTTCATATTTATTTCTTTATAAATTGGTAAATGATTAATATTGCATTGCATTTGTTCTAATTAGATTAGTTTTTAGCATGTTGTAAATATAGAATTATTCTTGTAAATAAACAATCTAATAAATAGTGTTTAATATTTTGTAAATTCTCAAGAACAAAAAAATGTATAAATTCATTTTCATCATATGTTTAGGTTTTATTTCAAATTTAATCACCACTTTTTAAAACAATAAACATTCTTGAATGAAAATAGTTAAAAAAAAGAAAGAAAGAAATTAAAGACAGTGTCTTGAGAAAAATGTCCTTTTGGCATTACGTCTTATTGCAGGCATGTAAGTCCATGTTTTGCCCCAAATTTTTATGAGTATATGTGAAGGGGATGCTAAAAAGATTTCAGCCTAACCCACTTTCCAAATCTGACCAAGCCCAGATTGTATTTTGAAAGAGCCACTTGATTTGGGTTGGAACTTTTCTACAAACTCTCATATTTTATGTACATTTTTTTAATACAGTCTAAAGTAATTTGACCATATATTTCTGTTTTGTGTGTGTGTGTTTTTTTTTTGTCAAAAAGTTGAAAGGATTTGCTTTATTCATAAGATTTATTATTGTCATATGATCACTTACCCCATCATCTCTTTAAGGCATAGGATTTTACTGTTATTAACCTTGCCATTGGGATACTTAAGGTCTATTCAGCATAAATTGCAAATGTGTCCCAACAATCTCAAGTACCAGGGGATGTGTTTGGTTGATATATAAAAAATGATAAACCTGGCTGATAAGGAGCTGGTCAGGAAAACAAAACATTATCTCATTTCAATGAATGCATTTTCTAGGTGTATCATTATGAGTCTTTAGTGTTATTCTATATTTGAGTTTATCAGACTTTCTTACTCAGCTGACCTGGCCCACTGCTTATCAGTTGATGACCCCCCCCCACATCCTAGAAAATGCAGATGACTATACTCTCTCCATGTAAAAATTGAATATTCACACACACACACACACACACATAATTTTCAATTGTTTTATATATGGATGTGTGGGTGTTGTAATAGATAGTGGCATGGGATAAGAAATCAGAAAACCTAATTTGAATTCCAGTCACATTTGTTACATTCATATTCTTAGGAAAAGATATGAATGTGTATCTTCGTCTCCTGCTCACTAGGAATTAAATAGTAGGGTAGACTAAGATTTATAGCTTTGGTTGGCAAACAATCTAGGAGATGAATAG